CAGCATACTATTCTGAAAGTTCCCAGGGTGAAACACTTCTTGATATGGATAAAACTGCACTGGGTATTTGAAAATAAAGTTAATTTCTACCTACTGATCATCTTGCTGAAAGTGACAATGACATATGCATTTATGGCAGTTCAATGAGAACACTCTTTCAGTACCTACCCTGAATTTAATCCTGGTTTACCATCAGAAGGAAGAAAGTGTTATTGTGTAAACATTAAATAACTGATTTAAATATTAACAATAAAGTAGTTCTGATGGCATGCCAGCCTTAAGCAGAGTATATACTTGTGTACAATAGAAATTGGTATGGATTAGTGTGCATTTCATAAACATTAGTTGTCACCTTGATGGAGGATATTGCCAGCAGTAAAATCAGAAATACCAGTCATAATCAAATGAGTTTCCAATCCCAGTTTGTACTTGTTTCTCACCATGTAAACTTTCACATGATCCTACAGAAAGGAAAAGGGGTACAGTTCTTTTCAAGTTCTATTCCCCAGAAGAGCTTTATCATCGTTACTGTAGGTTTGTTATAAGAAAAGATAGCTCTTTGAAACAGTCCGAAAATTCAAGGAGATATAAAGCTAAAAAACACTGGTCTTTTGTCAGACTAAGTAGATTATCAGCATAAGTATTGTTCACACAAAAACAGCTGGTTCCAAATACAAGTGTGGTCATTCAGCCCAATTCTATTTAATAACAGTAAATATCCCTAGGAAAACAAAGTCAATAGGCTGAAAAACAAACAAACCACCACATCAATAATAAAAAGGTTCAACATTTGTGCATAGAGTCTGACTAACACAGTCTTTGCATGACTGGGTACCACTAATATGCCATAAACATACTACAGCCATTATGCTAAAAGTCAACAGTTCTAAGAGTACATATGGTGGTATGTTCTTTTAGAACTGTATCCATATACCTTTTTCAAAAGACATCTGCAGGTGACAACCTCAGGTCTCCAGAGAAGTTTTCACACACACACACACACACGCACGCACGCACGCACGCACGCACACGCGTGTATGTGTGCATGGACATGCGCACACACATACACGCGCGTGCAAACACTTCTGGGTTTTCTTCTAGATCCTTTTTAGGCTGAAGCGTTCCATACATGTTAGGGTTTAGATTAATACCCAACTCCTGCATGAATTTAAAAGCCACATCAGCTCCTAATATAGGCTGCATACAATATTTGAAACAAAGTAGGAGTGCAAAAAAAGTGATCAATACAAAAGGTAAACACACTAGTCTTAATTGTCAAGATTATTCCAGGGCAAGAGTTCTTTTCAAAGATTTCTCTTCACAACTTGTTTGTTAAGTGGCCCAGCCAAGATAGCTTCCAGTTTTGTTACAAATTTGCTAATGATTTTTTCATACCCTCCCCCCACATTTTTGGGATGCTGGGACACTCAGCAGCAATCACTCTTAGGTGTTGGACAAACCAGTAATCTTGGTCTGTTGGCACCAACTGAATCCAATCCCTTTCAGAGTCCCAAGGTGCATAATATTTTTACCAACTTACAAATCTGCCAATTCCCCAGTGTCAACTTTCTCTTAACAATTCTCCTTCTAGCAAATCCAGTCTTCGGTGAGGGTCAGATTTGACGTCATAAGGCCACTCGGATGCAGTGGTGTTTGAGTTTGCAGGGCAAGACTCCTTTGTTTAGTTGGTAGAACTCGACAAGCTGAATTAGATCAGTGAATTTGGTATTCCCATCATCGAGGCTGAAAAATATTTGTCCATCGTCCTCACACTAGGGAAATAAAACGTCCTTTCCCAGTTAGGTAGCACCTTGGAATTTCCAAGACCAGCAATAAATTAAGATTCTAGACGTCTGATTTTACAATTCCATAAGATAAAGAATAAACTACACATTAAAACTCTTCAGTGTGGAACTTTTGGGGGGACACCTTTTCATGTTTAGTTTAGTTAAAAACTTAATAGCATCTCAAAATAAAATATTCCTGAAGCTCACTGTCAGCATATCAGTGTCACTTAGGGTCTTCTGGCTGCATAGCTTAATGTGTTCTTAAAGATGCAAAGTATCAAATTCCTGCTTATCTGCAACCCCCACAAAGCTTCACTACTAGGAACCAGCGTGCAACAACAACAATCTGGGTGAAGATTTTGCTTGCTTGTTTTCCATCCAGTGGAGAGGTGTGGAATCACACTTAAGTGATGGAATGGATCCAACACTGATTGAGCTTCCTGGCTCTCTCCACTATGGAGGAAGTTTCTTTGGTGAGCCCATCTGCTTAACAGGTTAGTAGTACCCCGGGTGCAGCAAAACAAGAAAAGCATTCCCGTTGTGACTCCCACGCTATCAGAGACATGTTCACAAATTCAAGTTGCTTTGGTCAAGTGCCTGAAGAGTAGCTATTAATGGTCTGATTGCCCAAAATGCTGAGTGAGTACCTATGTCTTCCACTGAAAGGAATGAGCTGAAATCCCAGTTAGAATTTTTTTTTAATAAGAGTAAAGGCACTCTGGGGAATGAAGTCTGTATACGTTTTTAATTGCAGCTCTTCATGAGGTAAAGCAAGAATTCTCCTCAAAGACTTGTTAGCTGGTCAGTGTATTGGGAAGACAACAGTAGGGAAGAGCACAAAAGCCATTTGAGTGGCTAAAAGGTACTTGGTATTTACTTTGTCTAACATTCGGGGCTAATTGTCTGGATTGACTAATCTCATTAATGGGTTCTAGTGTGATGGAGAGGACTGCAACTATTTTTTGTAATATTAAAGAGCTGCAAAGGTCATAGTTCTTTATGTTGCTTCTCTACCTTGACTCAGATATTTCCTCCAGCAGCCAGGGCAATAATTATAAAGGGCATAATTAAACAGGCATGGAGAAATGCTGAGAAATATCTTTATTTTTAATGCTAGCATCAGTATTTTACTGCATTAGTGCTTTATTTTTGTAAAATAATTATTTTTTTACATCTAGACTAAATCTTTATGGAGAATGAATACAATGAACACCCCCCCCCCCGTTTTGTTTTAATGTGGAAAGTACATACTTACCGGTAAGATTTGAAAATGCTTAATTTTTTGATGGTGACACAGTGTTAGTACAAATGCCTTTGGGTTGCTTTGGCTGTCCCGGAGGAGAAATAGCCTAGGAAAGAACAGATATTGCTATTATTTATGGACAAAAACAAATGTTACAATCTGTAATGTCACCCTTCTACTCGAGGGGAAAAGGGTGGCTGCAAAAACATTTATTCACATTAAACTTCATGAAAGCCACCTCAAAATGTGATCCACAAATTGGGCAGTTGCGTAACCCAGTCAAATTGGCCAACAGCATACCATATTTTTGTACCTTCTACCCCCCATATGACACATCTTGTTTTACGAAAACAGAATGAAGATTTTTTTTTCTATTCTTCCCTGCCACAGCCTGGACACACAATAGCTGAATACTCCTGGGCTGCCACACTGGTCAAAAATTGCTGCCAATTCACTTAATTCAGTTGGGTTAAAGCTTGAGCTGCACAGGCTTCAAGGAGAACTGCAAATCAGCTTAGCGTTGTTCAGCTGAGTGAAGCAATCACACCCTAAGGTGAAAAAATGGCCGCTGCAGTTCTTTTTGCTGCTGCCCAGACTGGCTCATTACTTGAGCGCCAAGCACCCTGATCCTTTTTTTTTCTCCAGAGCCCGCATCCCCATGTTGCTCCTGCCCCGGCTGCCAGCTGTCCAGGTGCTGCCTGAGCTGAGAAAAGGATTGGGTCCCTCAGAGCTCAGGTGGCGCCCAGCCAGTTGGCAGCTCAGCCAGCAGTGATGTGGGGGCCAGATCTAGAGAAAAAGAGCCCCTCAGAGCTCACACAGTGGTGAGTGGCCATCAATGGCACTGGGGGTTTGCTGCAGGCTGGTTATGCACCACAAGAGTTCCAAGGGGCCTGATTCTTTTTTTCTCTCCAGAGTTTGCCCCCTGTGCTGTCGCCAGCAGGAGCAGCAGGCCAGTCTGGGCAGTAGCAGGAGGCACTGTGGCCATTGGGCTAGATACCACGAACATGCAAGTTACAATCAAACTTAAGAAATAGCCAAGTATATTCCTTGTAGGGCTGTGCGAAATGGCTGTGTTCCATTTCTGTTTTGGATTCGGCCGTTTTAAAGGGACAGTGATTCGTTTTGGTGTTTTGGATCACTGTTCCATTTCGATTCGGCCCCCATGGCTGCCCTGCTCGGCCCCATCCCCTGCCTGGCCCCAGCCTCTCGACACTTTAAAAGGAGGGATGAGGTGCTGTGCCAGACTATCCTGGGAGGTGCCTCCAAAACATTTTGGATGGTTTCGTTTTGTTTCACAGATGTTTCAGAGCCTTCTGTTTTGTTGTGGATTCAGTGTTTCTGGTATACACTCTGGCACCTTATAAGCTTATATTGTAATTTTTAACTCCACACAAATGGAGTACAGTAATGTCCCCCTCTGTCTACAGCACTTCTGTAAGCCTAGATGTCTGCTACCATGTAAGAACGCTCATGCTGTCCAAAGACAAATAAATACACCATCAGTGATAACACCTGTGGAGAAGAGAATTTCTTATACATCTTCACCTAGATAGCAAACTGCCTCTCAGGGTATATCTGAATGTGCACTAATGTGCCATATTTACGGTACATTAAGTTTAGTACCTGTAATAACAGGCACTAACTTAATGCGCTGTAATTGGCACTACTGCGCAGTAGTGCCAGTGCATGTCTTTTACATGACACTAGTGCACAGTAGACTAATTCTATAGCACATTAGCAACGATTTTTGCCATGATGCGCTAACACACAACAGAATTAGTCTACTGCGCTTTTAGTGCCTTGTGTATGTCAGAGCAGAGCTTAGCGGTTGAGTGCCTCGGCACAGTGGAACTTTCTAGCACAAGGCACGGTGAGATTTTGTACAAGGGAATTTCTCGGCACGGTGGAGAACCCCGGCGTGGAAAGGTTCCCACCACTCATATGCAAATTCCGGTTCCGGTCCCTGTCGCCGACTGACCCCGACGTACCCCCGTGTCCTGCATGCTTGTATTAGAAAGATATCTTATCAGAGCTCCTCGGTTAAACTGAAACTGAAGTTTGAAGTTAACTTTCTTCCTACGCTGTACATCTCAACAGTGTAAGTAAAGCCATCTTTGTTTGAACCAGTACGCGTTTGTGCCTAATTCTACTCCAGCGGTCGAAAGTACCCATCTGTACGTGCCACAACCCAGCTGACCCTTTCCCGGATCCCCCTCGGCCCCCACATGGCGTCACGAACAGGATCAGGATCAAGATTGGGGACAGGATCAGGATTGGGATTTGGGGAAGACCCGATGGAGTCAGAATTAGTTAGAGGCTGCCCCGGCGTAGTGGGAGACACCACGTGTCGGACGTCGCAGAACTAGGCGCCCACATCGCCTACCATCAGGTGGGCGGAATAAGTGAATGATGCGTCAGTGGCTACCTTTCGCTGAAGGGGGAAGAAGAAGATTCAGAAGAATGGGAAGCACATCTACACCCCGGAGCGTTCGGGTGTGTGATGAGCAGTGAGCGGGTCTTGTTTAAGCCCCGGGAGGAAGGGGGCACTGCATCCTTTGCCAGATTCGAGCCGAGCGAAGTTAGCCCGACCCTCAGCCAGGAGTTTGCCCGCTGTACGCAACTCGTGCGGGAGGGTGGAGAACCAACGCCGACCGACTGGTTCAGTCCCCCAACCCTGGCGTTTGGGTTGAAGGGCTGTGAGGTTCTTTCCGAGCTTCGCGAAGGTCTAGAGGCGGAGGAACGTGCCACAGACAAGGGGAAAATATTGAGTGTACTGTTCCGCGCCGTAACAACTTTGCTGCGGAAGAACGCAGATTTGGAGGCCCAGCTGCTCGCAGCCGTTCAGGCGGCTAAAGAAGCAGCAGTAGAGAAAAGCCCTGAGGCGATGCCACTCCAAGATGGCACCGAGGAAAGAGCGAGCTGTCCGGAGAACCCGGAAGAGAAGGGCGGAGCTTCGGGAGAATCAGCGGGAATCCGCCCAGCAACCCCGCCCACCGAGGCAACGTCGCTCCTGGCAGCCCTGCCTCCTTACCACGGGGAGGGGGCATCGAGTGGAGGGTTACATCCGCCCCTCCTACCAGATGCAGCAACAGCTCTGACAGCAGTTGTTCTGCAGCGACAGTCAGCCGAGTGACTAATGAGCAGGGTACAGTCCGCACCACCTATCGCGCCCGCACTTGGACCGAGTTACAGGAACTGTGTAAAGAATCAAGGATAAAGCCTGAAGAGTCTCTAGCCGTGTGGTTAGGACGTCTGGTCGTGGGATTCGGGTCCGACTTGTTAGACTTAGAAGAGGCTAGTTTTCTAACCTGACAAGCCTCGTGGAGTGGAGGGCACGCCACCGACATAGATCTAGTGACGTGCAATGTTCATTGGCCTATTCCACTTGCAGTGCTTGTCGCGGGCCAGGTCAATCACAAATCCCACGTGTGGCACGACGGCTGTCCATCGAGGGTCAGTGCAGAACAGATTCTACTGGCGATAATAGGAAGCTCATATTGTTCCTGGAACTCCCGAGCGCACGCGCTGGGACTGACACCGCCCCAACAGCGAGGACCGTGGCCTCACCATCACCTGTGAAACCCGGGAAGTGTTCCGGTGACTTTCAATAGCATAGAAGCCTGTGTTGAAGTTTATGGAGGAAGAAACGCCACCATCCTTCGAATCCTCCTTAACCCACTGGCTGGCCAACCTGCAAGTAATCTTTTGCGACAGCTCCCAAGGTTACAGGCCCTCACCCGTAGCAAGTTACCCGCAAAGAACGCCAGAGGAGAGGATCATGTTTGGATTCCTCCTGCATCATTCTAGGCTCATGAAGCGGCAGCTACGAATCCTGGGAGACGCGGGCCAATGGCAACTGGCCTATGAACTAGGTTTCCAGTATCCAAGAGAGTCAGACGACGACTCCGGGACGTCCTCATCTCGCTGAGCACAGACAAGACCACGCAGCGTCTGTGCATGGATCGTCATCTGTGACGGTGCATCTGCGGGTGTGCGAGAGTCGTCCAGAGCCGAGTCGTGTCCGAGCACCTGTATCGTGTGCTTTGGAGAAAGTGGGAAGCTGCGAGAAAAAAAATCTGATTGGCTGTTCCGTTGCGCGCGCAGCTCCATATAGATATTTTAATATAAGTTAATTAACTGTTCAAAGAATTCTTTCTTTGCAGTGTTTTGTCTGAGGCTCGAGATACGTGTCAGAGGCGGACCCAGAGAGAGAGGTGGAGAAGACGCAGAAGCCTGACTTTGCCACGACACCTATCGAACTCCTCGTGATTGAACTTTTTGTAACAAATGTACTTATGCGTGTTTCTGTTTGTATTGGTTATTATTTGATTCGATCTGTTGAGGACGAACTTTTTTCGTTGTATGTTTTTGTATATAGCCAGTTACCTTATGAAACCCCCGAGAGGAACGACGATTTACACTTCAATTTCCAGCTGTGCCATCGGCAAGGGGGCATGTCAGAGCAGAGCTTAGTGGTTGAGTGCCTCGGCACAGTGGAACTTTCTAGCACAAGGCATGGTGAGATTTTGTACGAGGGAATTTCTCGGCACGGTGGAGAACCCCGGCGTGGAAAGGTTCCCGCCACTCATATGCAAATTCCGGTTGTAAATTATTCCTACGTGGCGACTAGCAATTGGCTCGCTAGCCGTATAAAAGGTTGGAGCAGTTTCCGCCCAAGTTGGAGAACTCCGCGCCCATCTTGGAGTGAACATGGTGGACTGATCAACCGCTGACGACTCCCCGTAGCCGACCGACCCCGACATACCCCCGTGTCCTGCATGCTTGTATTAGAAAGATATCTCATCTTATCAGAGCTCCTCGGTTAAACTGTAACTGAAGTCTGAAGTTAACTTTCTTCCTACGCTGTACATCTCGACAGTGTAAGTAAAGCCATTTTTGTTTGAACCAGTATGTGTTTGTGCCTAATTCTACTCCAGCGGTCGAAAGTATCCATCTGTACGTGCCGGGTTTGTGGCCACAACCCAGCCGACCCTTTCCTGGATCCCCCTCGGCCCCCACAGTGTAGACAAGCCCAGTGTATGCTTCACTGCACATGGTATAGGCACACCAGAGTTAGCTTTAAATTAGTTGCTCTACATACTGCTC